TGGTTCCCTGTAGTTCTTTATATATTCTGGTTATCAATTGTGTAGTCCCATTTGTGACTTGTATTTTTGTCTTGAATTGAAAACATTTTATTATTACACGTTTCAATGTATTAAACCCCTGTTACCTCCATTACTCAGCTTCAACTGTGGTCAGCATTTTGACCATCTTAGTTCCTCCATTTCTTACTTTCCTGGAGCTTGTAAACACCATGTCATTTTTCCTATAAATCCCTTTGGTGTACATGACTAAAGGAATTGAAGAAGAAATACCACTGTGTTATTACCACATCTAACAAAGTTAATTCCTCCATATGCACACTTCCCTTGCTGGTTTACAAGGTTCTCTGTGTTTGATTTACGGAGCCAGGAACCAGGCAGCTTCTGCACATTGCAGTGAGTCTACTTTTGCTCATTTCTTTGAATGTGTGAGTCTTGAAAGCCTCTTGCTTTATAACACTTTATATTCTTCTGCTGCTGTTGCCTTATTAGTAGAAATTGGCTGTTTTCCTATGCAGTATCCAGAATTCTGAGTGCTCTTGCAATATTGTTTAGCTTGTTCTGCTGGTCCTCCATATTTCTAGGAAAATGGCATTAGAAGTACAAACTTGGTTACATTTAGATTAACTTTTCCTTTTTTTATTTTATTGGGGTTCTTTTTGTTTGTTTGTTTTTTGAGACAGGACTTTTCTTGGTAGCTCTGGCTGTCCTGGAACTTGCTTTGTAGACCATGCAGGCCAGCCTCTAACTCACAGAGATCTGCTTTTCTCTGCTCCCTGAGTGCTGGAATTAAAGGCGTGCGTCATCACTGCCTAGTTTAGATTAACTTTTCTTTAGGTAGAATATTTTATAGGTGATGATATGGGTGATTTCTTTGTGTGTGCATTAGTGTGTGTGTGTGTGTGTGTGTGTGTGTGTGTGTGTGTGTGTGTGTGTGTGTGTTTGTTCTCATCCTCCTTCATCATCATTGTTTTTTTGAGATAAGCTCTTAACTATGCAGCCCTGGTTGGTCTGGAACTCCCTATGTATTATAGACCTCCTGCCTCAGTCTTCCAATTTCTAGGATTACAGATATGTCCCAGCATCATTGCTATTTTTTTAATTAGTTGTCTAAGTATTAATTTACTGTTCTTGAAAATGCCAGGAGCTAGGAATCAGCAATTTTGTGCCCATATCTTAGCTCCTGTGACCACATGGTAATAAAAAGAGAGACTGATACTTGTGCCTGCTGTGGGTTCTTTACAGAAGAGGAACTAGGGATTGAACATGTCTATCCTTTGTCCAGAGGGAGGCGCTGTGCCTTCCAGGGCTCTGTGTATGTGAGCATCCTGGAATGGAGTCCATAGAAAAGACCAGTTGCTGCTTCCCTGTGCAGAGTGTGCGGTCATGGGAGAACTTGTAGACACCTGTCTCGATGACCTCCATCTACTGCTCTCTCTCTTTTTTTTTTTTTTTTTTTTTAGGTTTTTCGAGACAGGGTTTCTCTGTGTAGCTTTGCGCCTTTCCTGGAACTCACTTGGTAGCCCAGGCTGGCCTCGAACTCACAGAGATCCGCCTGCCTCTGCCTCCCGAGTGCTGGGATTAAAGGCGTGCGCCACCACCGCCCGGCTACTGCTCTCTTTTAGTGGTGCTGGTGTTTTTAAGACAGGATTTCATGAATTCCAAACTGGCCTTGAACTTCCTATGTAGCCAACTGTTGCCTTGAAAGTCTTACTTTTCTGCCTCCACTTCCTGAGTGCTGGGATTACAGGCGTGTGCCGATATGTGCAGTTTTGTGTGGTACTGGGTATCAAACCCAAGGCTTCAAGCATACTGAGCCAGACTCTCAGCCCCAGCCCTTATTTGTGGATTAATGTTGAAGACTAGATGGAAAGGCAATCTAGAAAACCACAGAGCCTTGGGTTTGCCAGACTGTGGTGCTGATTAGATATCAGGGGCTAGGGGCTACAGCTAATATTAATACTGAAGGTTGCATCCATTTCATTGATAGCAATTTAATTTAATTAAATGATGTATTAGACAAAATGCATGGATTTAGTCTTAATTTGTCGGGGCTAACAACATGGAGACCTCATGGGAAAACTCCCCAAAAGTCAAGACTGTTAAAAACGTTGTTTTCATTATTTCATATTTTTCTTTATGGCTGTTTTTAGGCCTTAGGTACAGTAGAATTTAATTTTGTATATATCCGTTTTGGGGTTTTTTTGTTTTTTTGTTTTTTTTTTTTTTTTTTTTTTTTTGGTTTGGTTTGGTTTTTCGAGATAGGGTTTCTCTGTGTAGTTTTGGTGCCTGTCCTGGCTCTCACATTGTAGACCAGGCTGGCCTCGAACTCAGAGATCTGCCTGGCTCTGCCTCCCGAATGCTGGGATTAAAGGAGTGCCCCACTGCTGCCCAGCTAAGATTCAGTTTTATTGAATTACCTTATCATTATTGATTTGTTTATTTACTTATTTGGTTTTCTGGAATTCATTTTTGTTTGTGAAAGTGTCATGTGTAGCCCAGGCTGGCCCTGAATTTCCTGTGTAGCTAAGCTGTTCTGGGTATGTCTTGCACCGTGACTGGATGAGTCCCCAGCCTTGTGCTTTCCTGGTGGTCTGTGGTGTCTCATACACGTTTTAGGATCTCTGCTCGTCACTTACACACACGGGGCACAGAGTTTTTCTGAGAATTATAGTGCATGTGTACAGATTGGGAGTTGAATCTGTGTAATAGCAAATGTTTTAGCCCTTGTGCAAAGTGTGGCGCCGTCTTCCTATTTCAGGACCATCTTCTTCCTAAAAACATGACAGGATAGGTACGATGCTCAGTGGGTAAAGGCTCTGACTGCCAGCAAACCTAAAGATCTGAATTCAATCCCTGGGACCCACATAGTAGAAGGAAAGAAAGGAAGGAAGAGAGGGAGAAAAAAAGAAAAAGAAAAGAGAGCAAGCCTTGAATGCAGAAATGTATTTGAGATGAATCTAGGTCATAGACGTTCGTGTGAAAGGCCAAACCATAAAGCATTCAGAAAAAAATTGTTACTCTGAAAGAGGCAGAGATTTCTTAGGTTGTATAATACATGAGTCACAGAAAGGAAAATGATAAATTACTGGACTTCATATTTAAAATTTTCTCATCTAAAGACACTATTAAAAAGTAAGCTGACTCAGGAGAAAAATGGCTATGATGTGTGTGTGACAACGGAAAAGCACAATGTGTTTTTAAGATGGGTAAAAAATATTTGAATAGGAGGCCACACGATGGCTAAAGCATAGAAAGATTGCTCAACATCATCAGCCATCCAGGATATGCAAAGCAAAATCACAGATGTCACAAGTGTGACTAAAATGGAAAAACAAGGTAAAAGCCATCAGCAAGCCCTGGAAATGGTGGAGACCCATCGTAACCTTGACTTTCTGATGTTGGAGTATAGAGTCATGGAGCTGTTTGGGAAACTTTCCTAAATGGTAAGCAGATGTCATGTTTATTCTCAGATATTAGCCCAGAGAAATGACAACATATGATCAAGAAAAACCTTGTTTGAGAATGTCAGGATAGCAATTGTATTCAGAATACCCCCCACAAATGAAAGGTGCCAGTGCCTGCCAACAGAATGAATTACAGACTTCCGTATGCACATGGTGGAATTTTACTTAGCAGAAAAAGCCAGACTGCTGCTGCAGCCAGTATTGTGGACAAATCTCAGCAACTTTCTGCCAAGTGAGAAAAGCCAGACAAAAATTAAAAAATGTACCACTGCATTTTTGTGAAAGTTTAAAATAGATGAAACTAAACTGTGGTAATAGAAATGAAATCAGTGGTTGCTTGGGGAGGCAGGAACTGGCTGGGGAAGGAGCATTATGGGAAATCATGAGTCTTGATGGTAGTCAATTTGTGTGTATGTGTGAGCCGACTGGCAAGACAAGATCTGAGCAATTTGCTGTCTGCATAATGCTTCAGTTTAACAAACTGTGACCTGCGTCTTCACTAACAGGAGCGTATGTCTAGAGTTGAAACAGTGAGCAGCTTGTGAGTATTTCTTTGTAGTTAGGCCTTTTCTTTAATCGCTTTAACAGACAGGCCTTTTTCCTAAATGCTTTACTAAGTTTGAGCTTTTTGGCCAACTGTGTGTGCAGTTTGAGGACCTATTTTTAGCACCTTCTCTGAGTTCGAGTAGTTTCTATAAATATGAGAAAGATGACCCTTACAGATATCAGCTGGAGCAGTGCCTGTAGGGGCTCATTCACCAAGTTCTCACTTGTGGTGCCACTCTCCAGAGCAGTGGTTCTCAGTCATTTCTCATTAGATCTTCTCACATACATTTGGTAGTGTCTAGAGACATTGTCATTGTCACGATTCGAGAGAAGGATGCTGTGCTACTGGCATCTAGTGGGTCAAGACCATCCTGTAGCGCAGAGGACATCCCCCACCCCTGAAGAATTGCTTGGTCCAAAATCACATGGTGCCAAGGCTGGGAACCTTGTTCTAGGCCTCTCCTTGTCACTGAGTCCGTCTGTCAGTTGACTGTACTCTGCTCCAATCAGTTGTGCAAACTTGGCGTGTTCCCATTACGTATCTCTTCCCTGACTGGAGTTAATGTCAAGTATTTGTAAGTATATGTCATCTTAACTATGGAGATGAGTCCGTGCATCAGAAGCTCTTCCAGCTGTGCATCGTGTGTGGTGACTATTAAATGGAAGGGCTGTAGGTTTTCATTAAATAGCCAGATATGACCATACTGTTTTCCTTTAAAGAGGGAAGGTGAGGGACTGGAGAGATGGCTCAGAGGTTAAGAGCACTGGCTCTTCTTCCAAAGGTCCTGAGTTCAATTCCCAGCAACCACATGATGGCTTATAACCATCTGTAATGTAATCTGGTGCCCTCTTCTGGCCTGCAGGGATGCAGGCAGAACACTGTATGCATAGTAAATATTTAAAAAAAAAAAAAAGAGGGAAGGTGAGGGCTTTCTTATCAAGTCAGAGGATATCAAAGGTAACAATTCTCTTTTATTTCTTCCTCCACAGAATGACAGGAAGAGAGTTTTTCTCACGCTTTCCAGAACTGTATCCATTTCTTCTCAAACAGTTGGAAACTGTAGCCAGTACAGTGGACAGGTAAGGCAAGAACATACTGGATGAAGTGTAGTCACACTGCTTGGACAGAGTGGCTCATGCCTGTGATCCCAGCCCTCAGGGGATGGAGATAAGAGGATTGCTACCAGTTTAAAGCTAGCCTGGGCTACGTAGGCAGACCTTTCTCAAGAAAACAAACCTGGGAGAGGAGGAGCTGTGGAGAAATGGCTCAGCAGTTAAGAGCACTGTCTGGTGGTCCAAAGGACCTAGGCACACTTCCCCATACCCACATGGAGACTTGGCTCAGCAGTTAAGAGCACTGTCTGATGGTCCAAAGGACCTAGGCACACTTCCCCATACCCACATGGAGACATGGCTCAGCAGTTAAGAGCACTGTCTGATGGTCCAAAGGACCTAGGCACACTTCCCCATACCCACATGGAGACATGGCTCAGCAGTTAAGAGCACTGTCTGATGGTCCAAAGGACCTAGGCACACTTCCTCATACCCACATGGAGACATGGCTCAGCAGTTAAGAGCACTGTCTGGTGGTCCAAAGGACCTAGGCACACTTCCCCATACCCACATGGAGACATGGCTCAGCAGTTAAGAGCACTGTCTGATGGTCCAAAGGACCTAGGCACACTTCCCCATACCCACATGGAGACATGGCTCAGCAGTTAAGAGCACTGTCTGATGGTCCAAAGGACCTAGGCACACTTCCTCATACCCACATGGAGACATGGCTCAGCAGTTAAGAGCACTGTCTGGTGGTCCAAAGGACCTAGGCACACTTCCTCATACCCACATGGAGACATGGCTTAGCAGTTAAGAGCACTGTCTGATGGTCCAAAGGACCTAGGCACACTTCCCCATACCCACATGGTCTCACAACTGTCTGTAATTCCAGGTCGGGATCCGGTGCCTTCTTCTGGCCTCTATAGGCAGCAGGTACAGTGAGTGAGGTACACAGACATCCATGCAGCAAACACCTGGACACATAAAATAAAATAATAAAATGAAAAACAAGCAAACACTGGAGTAGATAAAATGACTCAGTGGGTTAAGCCTGACACCCTGAGCTTGATTTCTAAGACCTGCATTGTGGAAGTAGAGAGCCAGCTCTTGAAATGTCTTCTGACTTTCCAAAGTGTGCTTTAACACGTACACACACGGGGGTGGGGGAGGATTTAAAATAAATTTTTTAAAAATTTTAGCGATAATAATTACATTATTTTCCCTTTTTCTTTTCTCCCTCTAAACCCTCTCATGTACCTCCCCTTGCTCTCTTTCAGATTCCTGGCCAATTTTTTAAATTGTTGGTATGTGTGTGTATGTGTGTGTGTTCCTGGATTCATAAATATAACCTGCTCAGTCATGTGTTACTTGTATACATATGTTTTCAGGGCAGACTGGTTGGTATTGATTACCAGTTGGTGTGTTCTTTCCCAGGAAGATATTCCTCCCACTCCCAGCATTCCATAATTGCCTATATTTAGGAACTTCCCTCTTCCACGTTAGCATGTCTGTTGGTGTCTTTGGTTATGTTTAGGCAGCCGTGTCGGCAGAACTACTTGGGCATAGCTTCTGACATGTCTAGAAGACACAGTCTTACAGCAAGTGGAAGTTTAAAAATTAAAAACAAAAACCCAAACACCAAGCAAGGTGAAGGCGCTTATGAGGCTCCCCCTCTCCCTGAGGGTCTGTAAGTGGTGGTACAGCCACTAGTGAGAAACCATACTCCTGTGGATACCCCTTCACCCCTGCTTCTCAACCAACTGTAATGAAACTCACGGAAATCAGAGGGGATCGCAGGTAGGAGGGCAGGAAAGAGGATCAGAAATTTCATATGCACTTATCACTACGTATACTTAATGTGTCCTAATACATAACGGTCTTTAAAGTTTAATTTTCATTTATGTGTCTGTCTGCATGTTGGTATGTACATGCATGTGGGTGCCCACAGAGGCTAGAAGAGGGCATCAGATCACCTGGAGACATGACTCAATGGTTAAGAGCACTTGCTGCTCTTTCAGGACCCACGTTCCCAGCACCCATTTCAAGGCAGATCACAAACGCCTTTCACTCCAGTCCCTGGGAATCTGATACTCTCTTCTGGTCTTCATGGTTATATATGTATATACACATATGCACATAGATATACACATATATACAGAAAGAGAGAGAGAGAGAGAGAGAGAGAAAGATACATATAAAATTTTTTTTAAAATTTTAGATTAAAGGAATTTGTTTTTCCATAAAGTGGAAAGCCTGCAAGCCTGAAGACTTATGTTCAATCACCACTACCCGTATAAAAAGTTTGATGTAGTGGCATGTACACTTGTAGTTCCAGTCCTGGTGATGCGCACATAAAAGGACCCTAGGGCTTGCTAGTCAGCCACACTAACCTATTGGGTAAACCCCGGGCCCCAGTGAGAGACCCTGTCTCGAAAGACAAGGTGGGATTGGCAAGATGGTTCAAGCCTGATGACCCGTCTTGTGTGCTCCAGACCCACATTACAGGTGGAAGGAGAGTACCAACTCACAAGTTGTCCTCTGGCCTCCCCATCACATGCACAATAATAATAAATATCCTTTTAATTGAAGTTTTAAAAGAGCTAAGGTGGGCAGTTCCTGGAGATTGACATCCAAGGTTGACCCCTTGCCTACACACACACACACACACACACACACACACACACACACACACATTATTTCTTCCTCTTATTTTCTTTTTTTTTTTTTTTTTTTTTTTTTTGGTTTTTCGAGACAGGGTTTCTCTGTGTAGCTTTGCGCCTCTCCTGGAACTCACTTGGTAGCCCAGGCTGGCCTCGAACTCACAGAGATTCGCCTGGCTCTGCCTCCCGAGTGCTGGGATTAAAGGCGTGCGCCACCACCGCCCGGCGTTCCTCTTATTTTCTAAGATCTCTGTTTAGATACTAAATTTGCTTAATAGATTCTTACTATTTTGTATTACTGGCCTGTTGCAGCTCACCACTGTGAAACTACAGCAGTTTGCTAATTAATCAGGTCACCTGTGATCAGATGTAGGTCTGCCTGAGCCAAAATAATCAATGATTTTAGAAACATAAAGCAGAGTCGTTTAAGAGGGCTTTGCGGCCCCTTGGGCTGGAGAGAATGTTCTCATTTCCTCTCAGTCTTAGTCTATAGATGACAGTAGACTTCACTATGGACATCTTAGAACATACTTTTTTTTCACGTCTTTGTACTGGTGTGAATGCATATGACTTGTCTGTAGTGGGAAGATGTAATTATTATCGATGACATTTACTTTTGTTGTGATACATTTTCTCTAATTGCTGGTTTGTGCGGGTAGGATTTTCTGGTCCTGGTGAGTAATGGCCTATTCATGCTTTCTCAACCCCATCAGACATGGCAAGCTTCACATTTCCTGCTCTGGACACACAGCCTGCTGGAGAAAGATTGGCTTTAGGAGAGGATGTGTGCGGCAGCTTTGCTTTGCCAGAGACCTCACGTGTGCACATTAAAGTGAAGGGGAAAGTGACAAACTGTGTTGGAGTAGTGCCTGACTTCTTCTTCAGTCTGAAATCTTTGACGTATAATATCTTCTTTGCAGCGAGACAGGAGAGCCTGATCGCCACCCCAGCATGTTCCTCTTACTCTTGGTGCTGGAGAGACTCTACCCATCTCCGATGGATGGCACGTCGTCTGCACTCAGCTTGGCACCCTTTGTTCCTTTCATTATCAGGTAGTGTCCTGGTGTAGGGGACTTGAGGGAAATGCCTTATCTTGTTCTTATTTGGGGAGTTATAATCAGCATATTGTCTTAGGAAGCCATTGTGTGAAGTCGGGCCAGTGAGGCTTTCTACCATGCTCCTGCCTGGTCTCTAGTGCTTCAGAGGAAGGTGCTTAGACTGTGGGTGTGGTGCAGGCTCCTTAGAACCTGCTGTGTTGGTAGCGTTTCCCATGGAGACCTGCTGATGGGTGTGTGGTGTTGACAGGAGATAGCTCTTTTGAAAACACTACCTAGGGTTTGCATTGTACTCCACCGGGCCAGCCAACACACGTGTGTGGAGCAGGCGTGATCCTAGCGTATGTTCCCCGACCTGCGGTTTAAAAGACTGTCAGAACATCTATCTGGCTCTGGACTCTAGAGTCAGAGCATCCAGGACCTGGCATGCCTGTGCCAGTGCCACATAGCCCATGGTCCCTCTTACCTTCTCTTTCAAACTTGGAGTGCTTAAAAAGATCTCCAAGCATAGGGTGCATGTGGACACACACCAACTACAGCTGCTACAGCTTCTTTGGAGGGACCAAAGGCTCTGTTACCTCTTTGGAGGTGTCTGTCACCGTCTGATGACTTTTATTTTGGATGAAGCACCTTAACATGCCGACCTCCAAAAAGCATTTGTATTTTCTAGCTGTCGTAGTTTTAACAGTTTTCACCTTTCTCCTTAATTTCTTGTCTAGTTGGTGCCTTTAATGTATCTACTGAAAGACTGAGATGGACTTGGACAAAAACATGAAACTTGAGAGAGTGTGTTTATTGTTTGTGTGGTACTTTGGGCTCTGCTTCCTGGTCTCACGTAGCTGACTTACGGATTTCCATGTGAGAAACCATTAAACTCAAGATTCTGACATGTGATTGCTCTGACCATTTGTTTGCCGGAGCTAGGGCTGTGGCTGTGTTATCTTTGATCACAGAGATGACTCACTCAGACGGGTTTCTGTTTCCTGATACACAGTTACTGACTGCCTCATTCAGCATTTGGTGATTCATTTTAGAAATTTGGGTGATAAATTTTACTTTCAAGAGCCTTAACAGTATTCTCTTTCATGAACACTTGTAGGAGGAAGTGGGGCTAAGTGGTGTTTTCAGAAAGTCGACACAAGGGGAAAGGTACAAACAGAGAATCACAGTGTGCATCAGAAACCAGGATATGCCATGGACCCTCACCATCTGTGTTGAGAACATTTGCTTTGCAGAGACTTTTATAAACTTTCTGTGGTCTGCTGCTCCTAGAAGCAGGAAGTTGCTGCATTGAAAATATCCTTCCAAATGAACCTGTTTGTATATCATCTGAGTATATACATGGTATTGAGAAATAGTCAAAGATTACATTAATATAGAAGATTTAAACATTATTCTGAAACCAGGTTGTTGGGAGCAGTGAAGTCCTTAGTGTGTTGTTAATGTGTATGTGGCCACGTTAGTGACCCCAGTACCTCAGACCCATGGGAATGGCAAAACCTTTCCCTGGGTGAAGCTTAGAGGTGTGACAAAGCCTTTTCACCCTGTGGCGATAGTGATAGTGTCTGTAGGAAATGTTCAGAGCTGCTCCCCACGACCCACATCGTGAGCCCAAGTTCATGGCCTGAAGACTGCTCCTTTACAAAGACTGCTCCTATCGAGATTAGCTAAACCTGCCCTTTTTTCAGTTGTGTATGACAACCCTGCCTTCTTGTTTATCTATGTGGTAACCCTGCGTCCTTCTTCAGCTAGCTGTATGCAACACTCTCATCTTGCTGTTCAAATATATATACGTATAACTATATAATATACACACTACGCTTCCAATGTGCTATTACAGAGTCTACTACCTCATCCTAGATTTTCTGTGTCTGTGTGTCTGTCTGTCCTTTCCTCATTCCCTCGTTGCACCTAGTTAGGGTTCTAGGACCCAAACCGTGCAAGGATGTGGCACCAGATTAGAGCATAGTTTGGGTTAGTTTGTTTGATTCGTTTGTGTTACTTGGTTTTGCAGTATTGGGGATCAAACCCAGGGCCTTGCTCATGCTTGGTAGGCACTCTACCATTGAGCTGCATTCCAGCCCTGTATGTTTAAAAATCTACCCAAAAGATCTGGAAAGATGGTCCAGCAATTAAGAACACTTCTTATCAGCCGGGCGGTGGTGGCGCACGCCTTTAATCCCAGCACTCGGGAGGCAGTGGCAGGTGGATCTTTGTGAGTTTGAGGCCAGCCTGGTCTACAGAGTGAGATCCAGGAAAGGCGCAAAGCTACACAGAGAAACCCTGTCTTGAAAAACCAAAAACCAAAAAAACAAAAAAACACTTGTTATCAAAGCAGACCAAGGTTTGGGTCCCAGGATTCATTTGATGACTCACAACTGCCTGTAATTCCAGTTCCAGGGACTCCTGCACCCTTTTTTGATCTCCACAGGTGTTAGGCATGCACATGATGCACACACATACATGCCAGCAGAGCACCCATACACATAAAATAAATAAACCTAAGAGATTTTTAAAGAAAGAGTCTGCCCAAGCTTGTTTCTCTGTCCGCATGAATCTTAGAAATTACTAATTGGGATTTTCCATGATCTGTGTGGGTGCTGTTAGGACTGTTGTTATACTGTCTTGGAACAGAAATGCTCGTGTTAGCCCCAGCATCTTGTTTACAGTTTTTAAGGTCTTGTGTATTTTTCTGTTCTCCATCCAGATACACAGCCCTTTCCCACATTAATGAGGTGCCTTTCATTTGAGACCATTCACTCTTCAGTTGCAATAGCACAGAATATTCATGTTTTAAAAGGAACCCAAGTGGCTTTCTGAATGTAGCTCACCAGTGCCTACTTGTCTGGCTTTCTAGAGGCCAGAGGTCTTTTCTGAGGCCAAAAGGGGCCAGGAGTCTTTGAATTCCCTTTGACAGGCAAGTTCGAGCTTCCAGTGGAAAATTCCAGGAGACCACATAGTACCATCCTAGAACCCTGACTGGAGAGGCCTGAACAGAGCAAAGGCCCAGCCTGAGGAGACCTAGTTCTGTGTGACCTCCCGCTGTGACACTGGCACCGAGCGTTTATCCTGCCCTGGACTGACATGGTACTCTCTCTCTGTGCATAGTGCCTCCTCCTGCTAAAAATATGAGTGCTCAGGACCTCCCTAACCTGGAGAAATCTCCTCACTGCAGTTCACTGTTTGGAGAGCCCTTGTAAAACGTCCTTCTCCCCCTGCCCCAGACCCTGCAGCACCCCCTTCTTTCAGCTTCATTTATTTTCAGTACCGATCTTCCCCAATCCATTTACTTGCTGCTCTCAGTTTTAAAGTGATACCCGCTGTCTTTCTCTGGCAAATACTAAGCACCGACGACGATAAAACCAATATGTACCCATAGGCATCATGCATAGAAACCTATGTGGGGGACATTTTACATTGAGATATGAAATCATTGAGATGATCTAGTCAACAAGGAATAGGGAAGCTTGTGTTTCATGTATTTAAACACATTTCATGGAATCTTAGGACTATACCAGTTTTACCAAAGGGGAAGGTAGAAATAGAAAAACCGAGAGTTGGTCCTTGTAAGCCTGTGACCTTGGGAAATAATACTGACTCTGATCTTGTTTCCCTTAAATATTACATAATGCAGATGATTACGTTTCACCTTCCCCAGGTTATAAAGCAAGGCAGTTTGTCTTCTGTGTTGGAGTATTGTGGGTCTTACAGGAAATAGTAATGAGTTTCTATTTCACTTGAGATTCTGGTGCCAGGAGCTCTCCTTTAAGTTTGTGCATTATATTGCTGCTTTTGTTTTTTGTATTTTTTTGTTGTTGTTTATTTGTGTTTGTTTTGAGATGGATTCTCATGCAGCCCAGACTTTCCTGAACTTTGTATATAGCCTAAGATGACCTTAAACTTCTGATCCTCTTGCCTCCACTTCCCAAGCACCCAGATAATAGGCATGTGCTAGTGTGCCAAATTTATGCAGTGCTAGGAATTGAACTCAGGAATTAACTACGTGCCATGCATCTTTACATTTTATTTGTACTTGCTCTGATTTCCCAGACTCCTTTTAGATAAGTAGAGGGCAACATTGGCTTTCTAGAGACAAAAGAGGCAAGCAGCGTGGTTCCGGCATCGCCAGGGTAGAAGTCTGTGCTGCTCCCTTTCCTGTGCACTGGGCTCCTGGTTGCTCCTCTCCTTCAAAGTGCAGAGCATCCTTCCTTGTCGTTATCACTGTTAGATTATACTGTAATGCTCAGTGCTTGCCCCTCGTCCTAAACTGTAATCTCCTAACATGCAGAACAAACGTAGGTTTGGCGTTGGTGTTTTGTGGCGCTTTCCTCTACCTAGTACGGAGTTGGGCACCGAGTTAAATTGAGTAATGCAAAAATGAAACTAGCTTAGGGTCAAAACTTTGTGTGTGAGCAGATTTGTGTATTCTGAAGTATTCAAGGGCTTCCAGCCCTGTATTATTAGAACCACATGTTGTAGCCATGGTCATGGTTTATATAGAAAGGAGCCTCAGCCGGGTTCCATGTTTTACCTGGCCTTTGAGGAGCCCTCTGTTCTATTAGGAGCTTTGACATTTGCTTATATTTTGATTCACCTTTCTGACTTGCTGTTTCCATTTCAAACAAGTTTCAATCAAATTAAGCTCTTGGACTGAATGTTACCTTGGTCCTCTGGCCTCATGAGCCTTGACCTTCCTGGATTATGGACTCCTCCCTGGCTGTCCATTAGAGGGGCCCTGTGAAAGTCTTGACTCTCAGTACCCTGCTGCAGGGGTTAGGGTCGTAGGAGAGAAGCCTGAATGGATAAGGATAGAAGAAGAGGCAAGGCACTGTTTTTCTGTTGACATTCATACAGTTATAATAAGCCAGACATGTAAGGGAAAGCCCCCCCCGACTAATACAGCAAGAATGGAGGACCAGCTAGGAGATCCTCAGTGTGATGGGGCTAAATGTCCTGCTTACAGAATAGCACTGGGTTTATATGTGAAGGAATTCTAG